TCATTTGCTGCCCCAGCAGGTGTCTAGCTTCTGTCTTGGTGAACTGCAGCACACTCCTCTCCTATTCTTCCTTCTTGTACTGGCAGTAGGGAGACAGAGGGCTAGCCAAACACACTACATTCTCACATGTCCTTGTAGACCAGACAGTCCAGGGGTTGCGGAGTCAACTCAGGTCAGCTGGCAGCATGATATCAACTATTGTAGCTCCAGCAGCCAATGAGACCCATGGGTAAGTTCTTACAACATCACCAGTTACCACTGCATAGGCTAAGTCTGACTATGCACACTGGAGGTTTTGGTCATGGCGTAAATACTTTGACTCTGTAATGCTCTTGTTTTTGGCTTTTTAAAATTCATAAATAAATACTGGCAGCTGCACAGTGCCAGGCAGTTACATGGAGTATCATGCTGGGCAACATAGCAGTGTTGGAATGCCAAACATAATGTATCAACACAGTCAGAACTTTGAGCTTGAAATTGTCCCTGTTTGGTAAACCAGCTATTTCCAAATATCAATCAGAAAATACATGGCTGATGGATAGTCAGGATTCAACATGCTATTAGAGGTCATGGGTAGAGCTAGTTGGGAATTTTTCAACAAAATCGTCAAAACATCCTACTTTGACATTTTTGAAATGACAAGTTTTAGTTTTTAATCCTAAATGACTTTTTGTTTTAAAATTTTGTTTCATTTTTACCAAAAAAGTTAAAATTTAAAAAAGGTCAAATCAAAATGAAAACATTTGGTTAACCCAACCAGAAAATTATTATGGATTATCAATTCAATACTTTTTTTTTCAGGGGGGGGGGTTGACTTGTCATCCCATTTCAAGATAGGATTTTTCTTTTAAATAAAATCTCAAAGTCTCATAGGACAGAAAAATTGTTTCCTGCCCAGTTCTAATCAGGGGATTAGAGTTAGATTTCTATGTCTCCTGGGAGTATCCCTGCCACTGAAGCCTCATCTAGACTTGGAAAATAGGTTGCATTTTAAAACATGTAGCTAACACATTTTACTTAATACAATTTTAAACAGGACCTTGCATTTAGTGTAGGCAGGCAGGACGGGTGCAAGGACGTTTCGCGCCCTAGGCGAAACTTCCACCTTGTGCCCCCCCCTCCCGAGCCCTGTGGCAGCTCTCCGCCCCCCCCATCCTAAGGCACCCCCCCCACGGCAGCTCCCCACCCCCCCCGCCCTGAGGCGCCCCCCCTCCGCAGCAGCT